TTATAAATCAATTTCACAAGGTAGAGACTAAGAATGCCTTTTCATGCATTTGGGTATAAATAAGAAAATGAAAAAAAAGATGTACAATATTTTGATAAAAGAATATTGTTAATATTATAAATTAATAAATACCTTATTTTGACATAATCAGATAGTGTCTTAATAATTTATTACCTGGATTTAAGAATTATGAGAATTACTCCAATGAAATTAGGGTCATATTTTTATTTCTAAACTTACCTTTTTGTGTTATGCAATAACTTATTCATTGGATATAAAGTACGGATTATTATTTACTACCAATTATTCAAAATTAACAATTTAACATATCATTTTCATTTCTATCCAATATCCATAATTTACTCTTTCAAGGAAATAAATTATTTGGACAAATCCTAGACATATGTGGGTCAAATTAGTCCAAGAACGAAGTTCATGGGCTCGGTTGGGAATACTGTGGGGCCCATACTATAAAATGGGATTTTTCACAAATTTGAGTTCGAAGACAATGACTAAATAATAAAACATGGCGTAATTGGTGTAATTATATTTGTTTTAGAATTTATTCAAATAAAAAAATAATTGTTTTAGAATTGTTAATCCAAAAAAAAAAAAGAGGGTGTTTGAAAGAGACAGTTGTTTATTTTTGCTTATTGCTCCAAATCCAGCGATTGATGACATTAATTGAATGATTAGATTCAACGCTAAAGAATTATCCCCATCCAACTCAATTATTCTTTCCTTTATTTCTGGATAACAGGAATACAACTTTTTCTAATTGTTCCATCAACTGCTCCTATCATTTGTCCACTTGAAAAATCATATCCGATATAGCTCATTTGCAAACAGGTATTATGACATTTTTGTAAATAGTAATGTCGACTTTTAATTTATTTATCTTATTTTTAAGTACTTCTCTCTCATTAAGTACATACAAAGTATGTAAGATACTTTAATGATGTAATGGTATTATAAAACATTTTATTTGTACATACAATTATTTTTTAAATGGTACAAATCACGATATGCTAACGTGAGATATAATAGTACCTATGAGGCAAATAATACTTTAATGGTAAACCTTATAAGTTATAATGTTGTAATGTTACACAAAAAAGGTGCCATGCATTTTAAATTTAACTCGTAAAACTCTCATAAAATGACCTAGCCTAATATATTTTCCAGTATCCTTTCAAAATGCCTTATACACGAACTTATTTAGCTTTTATACACTATCAACTATAAATAACGAAACTATCATGCTCATTGATTAGCTTTCTCGTGTAAAACACGATGTAATGCAAAATTCTGTTAGCATGATAAACCATTTTCCACCCTTCGATGTCATGTATGGTCCTCGTGTCCCCTTGTTGTTTTTGTAACAATGAAAAAAGAAAAGCACATGCCCATATCATATGAATTAATCTACCTTTATACACAAAATTATTGTAACTGGACTATAAATCATTTGATAACAACTTTATAGGACCCATGCACCCATCAACCAATTATCACATCACATAACATTTGATATTTGATAATGATACCTCTTTCGCTCAAATTAAATACTAGTAATAAAAATAAGTTCAATTTGTATCGTATTTAGTTTTTGGGTTATATATGTTACCGTGTCACGAATAGCAAAGAATACATACTATGGAGGATAATTTTACAAGAAAAACTCTAATGTTAAGTTTTACGCTGCCAAAAAAATAAATAATGTTTTAACAATTACAAGAATTTTTTATCGTTTATCTACTCTTTAATCCTTTTTTTTTTTGAAGGGACTACACTTTAATCCCTTCATCCTGCGGAACAGCGTAATCTCCCATTATGTATAAATTTCTTAGATTTTTGTTATTTATAAATTGACGAAGAAAGTTTTTTTTTTTTTTTTTGAAGGGACTACTCTTTAATCCCTTCATCCTGCGTAACAGCGTAATCTCTCATTATGTATAAATTTCTTAGATTTTTGTTATTTATAAATCGAAGAAGAAAGTAAAACTTTGAAAGCTCGTAGTATTTAGTAACTAACATTGAAGTTAGAGTACATGAAGTATTTGTATTAGGCACTCATAGTCCATGTTTTGAAGAAAAAAGGATATAAAATGGGCCACGGCCCAACTTTTAGAAGTTAGTACAAGTACAGTAGCAGAACAATTAGTTGAAGGTCCAAATGGCAGCTAATTTTTCTTCTTCTTTCATAGAATTATTATGTGAAAATGTATCACAATTCATAGCATACATGGAAGTATTAACAAGAACAATTCACATAAATATGATTGAAGTATATAACCAACCTTCCGTCCAAAAAGAAAATGTATGATCAACCCTAAAATCGAATATCCTTAATACATTGCTCCATTGCTGGATATCTACTATGTAGCTAAGGTTAGATACCTGATGGTTAATATGCATCTTTAAATACTAATAGCCTAATAGTATTATGTAGCACAGCATAGACATTAGACATTATGGCTTAAAATTCATCACATCTAATTCAAAAACAGTAATACCCTTCCGTAATATAGAAGAACATGGTAAATAATACTATTAGATGACAACATTGGATACACGAGATTTGGCCCTTAAATAGTCGGAGGTTGTAATAAAGACTACTTTTGAACAAAAATTTGGACTGTTTTTCAACTGTATTATTGCACAATCCAATCAATTTTGGGTGTGTATTGAAGAACCATCAACAATTCAAAATGTCAAAGTACAAGCTACTAGCCCAAGATCACTAATGATTCATCTCAACCAATTAATATTTATACTTCTCTCCTTTTCTCCATTTTAGATAAATTACAAATAATTTCAGTCTCAGGGACCAACTGCTATTATCTGAAGGAAACCACAGTATCTGAAAGTCCGTGATCTGATTTTGGCTATTTGCCAAAGGTTTAACCATATAAAATTCTAAATTTTCCGTGTTAGTGAGTCAAATATTCGAAAACTTGCAAACAAAAAGGGACTGAGCGAGTAACATTAACTAATCTAGTATTATTCAAACCAGTACATAATACAAAGCACATAATATCAAGGCCCTGAAGTTCACTGATGCATGCTTACACAATTGGCCTTTGTAACAAAACACAGCACTTCAACTTTATAATACTGAAACTAAATTCCCTCAAAGCGAAATTGGAAGAACATTACAGTAATGTCTCACCAACAAATTCACCAAATATATATGGAGCAGAACAATGTTGAAATGTTGAGTTCTAAAATCATCAGCTAACCAGCATAAGACTCCTGCGCTGAATATTTCCGTTATTATATACTAAGTACTGACCTTGTCACGAACCATCCCTATGATATAATGCTTTGCAAGGAAGGCTGATATGAGATCAGAACAAAAATAATGACCAAAACAACTGCAACACCCCATGGTGAACCACCAGCTCGATGAATGTCACCCGGGTTGGACCCTGGCAAGAGGAAGCTTAGGCAGCTCGAGGATGGCATTGTCGAAAGCCAGTGGACTGTAATAATAATGAGAAGAGGAGAGATCATCAGCAAACGCTGCAACAGCTCTGCTGCTGTAACCATCACTGCATCATAGATTATATAACCAAATAAACCACATAACAAAAACATAAATGTCATTAGTACCCAATTCTCTGATGCTCCCATGTTTGATCTTAGGGAAAAAGCCATTGTTTCTTATCCTTCTTTTTTTTGGTGGAGTAGAAAATGTAGCTTAGGATAAAAAGTATAGTAGTACCTCTTCAATTTGTGATGGGATACATCTCAACTTTTTAAGCAAAAATAGTGACTTGTATGGCTGGTTTTTTTGTACAAATGATTCCATTTTCTGGATTGTTCTCTGACTAGGTAAAAAAAACAAATATAGTGGAGATTTATTTAGCAACTTAGTACAAATTTATGCATGCATTTCTAATAAAAACAAAGAAAACGCCATGTGACATGCAGTATTATAGACCCAAAAAAAGAACTTCAGAATGCAATAAGGAGATTTAAGGGTGACTATGTGACACTCCGTCAAAAGCGGAATAAGCATGGTTCATATGAAAAAAAGATGAGGTGAAATATCACAATTATTTGTACCCGAGTGGTCGTTCTTTTACTAAAATGTCCCTTATCGAAACTTATTGTCCCTTCTCTAAGCTAGTCCGAAAGAACAAGCTTTAACACTTTACCAACTAAATGAACTAGCTTAAAACACTTCATCATATCATCCAATTTGCTGACTACAGTTTCATTCTTAATTGGCCCACCAAAAAAAAAAATTGGCCCATCACTGAACTTATAGAAGCTTATTTAGTCGCACTTGAATTTATTAATTCTTTGATGATTAATGAGCTAATGATCTACAAGTAGCTGATGTAGGGAGAGATTAGCAGGCAATGAGAACAGAACTAGCATCATGATCATGATTAGTTCAAGCAGTGGCTCTCTTGCACCTTTATTCTAGATTAAGAATCTCATTTATTTACAGGTACTAATATACTTCACAGTATATTTCGAGTGATTTAGCATTGATAAAAAACACTAGATATCAAAGCTTTACCCAAGCATATCCACCTAGGAATAAGAGTGATGTAACATTATTTGACATGATAAACAAACTATAATTATCTAATCATGATACATTATTCCCCTTGTGAATGTCAAATTAAAATTACTACAAGCTGATAGCAGAGCAGAAAACGAAAAGAGTCAAAACTTGTAACTATCATGATAAACAAATCATTGACAAATTCTATCACATATATCATCATATATCTAGCTCTTTAGGTACACCCAACGTTTTTTTAAAGCACCACATTCTATAGGCGTGTGTACAAAAAGCGTATTTTTTCCCATATTGTTTTGAAAACTCATATAACATCATAAATAACATATTGCTTATCTCAAATGTAGTATCTAGTGTCTAATTTAGGCAAATAACATTTTCAATGCAGGTATGCAACTACCTTTTTTTTTCAAGTATGCAATTACTTTCAATTAAGTTAAAGCTCCTAATCATGAAAGATGAAACTGTGTGTGGTATTAGAAACAAGAGATCAAGAAATAATTTAACAGATTTTTCTACGAGGCATTTCATCAAACATGTACCGTGCAACTGTGCAAGTTTAATTAAACCTTTAAGATACCACCAGTCCACCATTACGAAAGTTTCAACCTTTAAAACCAAAATTAAAAATTTAATATAACAAGAAACTTAGGAAAGTGAAAATCAGGGATTTTTGAAATGACCAAAAAACCACCTCATAAAAAAGAGGCAAACAATTTAAATTCCTAATTTGATAAAACAAAAACCCTAAATCCCACTTATTCTTGCAAATCAGAGAGAAAATGGAAGTGGGTGCCAATAGAGAGAACGAGAAGCAGAAGAAGACTGAAAAACCTCCTTATGTCGTTGCCAAAGATGATACCAAGCCTGTTCTTCAAGACCCTGTAAAAAATTTCTCTCTCTGTCTCTCTCTTTTTCTTTCTTTAATGCAATGTAGTTGGGATTTGATCTCGGGTTTTAGATACCACCCTCGAGACTTTATAAAAATATGTTACGTGCCTAACATCTTATTCTTGTAATTGTAATTTGTAGTTATGGAGTTCGGACCCAACTCAAGCAGAACAAGCAGTGCTGCGGTTGCCACCATTTCCCTTCAGATCAAAATCTTAGCTCAATTTGAGATGTTATGGTGAAATTCATCCATCTGTAAGAGCTTTTTCAAGATTTTTTTACATTTTTTGTAATGGTTCTTTTGTTGGTTTTTGAACTAATGTACAACTGTGCAAGAGTATTGCAATATTCATAATAATTGATTGAGTGGAGTTTATGTGCTGATATACCTATGATTATTTTATAAAATTCTTAACAGTCAGAGAGGAAAATGTTATCATATGTTATTCTGCTAGTCTGCTACTGATACCTGGCTTGTTTGATGTATGTTTTGTCCTAATTAATTGAACTTATAACATGACTTCCTCCGTCCCAAAGTAATTGCATCAACAGCACAAACATTGGAGTAGATACATACTACCTCTGTTTCTTATTACGTGCAACAAAATTTTATGTCTCACAAATAATACCCATTTGTTGCACATGATAGGAAACGGAGGTAGTATAAATAACATAGAGATATTGTAGGCTTTGAAACTTAAGGATAGAACCAGTAGTATTAGACATCAACTTAATTACTGTTTAACAAATTAATTGCAATTTTACATTATATAGAGTAAAATTCATCTCTTTTGCATACAAGGTATTACAAATTTCAACTAATAAGTTCATTCTTACAAAAAAACTTACTTCAATTTTAGACTAAATCCAAAATTCCAAAGATCTCACACTACTTGTGACAGTCTATTGACCAAATTGGTATTAAGATTTAGCCAAATACTTAAAACACTCAGCTATTCCATCCTACACTTAAGGTAGGTTTCTCATTTTCGCTATATTAATATACCAATATATTACCAAATACGTTTATCAAACCATGTTGCAAACACGATAATTCAACTACAACCAGTTAATTGCTGAATTCTTATTACTGTTAAGTCTAATTATCAGTAGTGCCAGGATGAATCAATGGCTTTGATTATTGTAGCATCTAGTACAAGCCAATAAATGAATTGTACACTACACATAACTTACGATTTCTAATGTGACCCAAATAATCAGAGTTCACTATATAACACTAGTACATATGATACAATGATCAGGAGTTGTCTTCAACAATTGGAGAAGCTGCCCTGTCATGGATATTTGGAAACTTGGGTGGCAAAGTCATCACAGGCCCATCCAAAGAACCCTCGCTTGCCATTGCTAATGCCAGAGAATAACCTAATGCACGAGCCACAGGAACTGCCACTGCATTACCAACTTGAATATACCTAAAACAAAAACAATGCGAGTATATATTAATGTGGGCATAAAATCAATACAACCAAAACAAGATCTAAACAAGATTTGTACCTATCTTTAACCCCGCCTTTCAATTGATAATAATCTGGAAAACCTTGTAGTCGAGCATTTTCTCTTATGGTCAGTACTCTGTCTTGTACAGGATGGAGCACAGCCTGGTTATGGGGTTCTGCCCTTGTAACTACAGTAGGAACTGTCTCATCCCACCATAGCCTTGCAAATGGCCTAGTAATTCCAAGATAAAAATATTACACTAAAATTTAAGAAAAATATATATGTTTATTGTATATCGAATTACCCAATAAAGTTCACTTACTTGGAAGATGTTCCCCCAACAAAGGTCATAGCATAATCTGGCACCTGTTAGCAAGCAATAAAATCAAAATGCTTTTCAACAAATTAGTGATGTGATGAAGATAACAAGTAAACTGTGATTCCACAGATAAAGGTGATGATAGTGGAGAAGATCAACACTATAAAATTTACTTTAGTTAATGTGTTATTTGTTTACTCTTGCAATAGTCCATGATACTAATCATAGTATTGCCAAGGCACAAAGGCAGATTATCTAGTATAAGGTTTATGCAGTCTTGGTGCTAAATAAATAAGGGATCAAAGCTTACCAAGGGTTTCTTCGAGGGTAAATATTCCCTCTCAACATCAGGATCCCATTCTACCTTGTTATCAGAACGAACACGCACTCCTGGTAGATCTCGAAAGTTTGCTCCCTGAGCAAAAAGACACTTATTAAGTCCAACACCAAAGTGGAAAAGAAGCAAGTAGTCAAGTAAAATATGATGATTACCTTTTTCTTAGGAATCCGACAAACCCTCTGGTAATCATCAACATTCAAGTTAAGGGGCCGGTGGTCATAGAGTTTGGATATAAACTCTGAGCCATCTCTAGAACCAAGCATAGCTGCAACATAAGAGGGACATGATCTCAAAAAGTGAGGGTAAACAGATTTCCCTACAACACACGGTTACAGCAATGGTCCAAAAATAGACAAGACCGTCAAAAAGAACTAAAAACTCAGATAATTACCATCCTTTGTCATCCTAATGAAGCGTTGAAACTCTGTTTTTGGAGAACAGCTATATGGTATCTCATCTCGACTCTCAGAATTGGTTACCTGCATTGCCATGACAAAGACATAAAGACCACAAAATTGACAATTTGGTACGTAAAAAGTAGAATAAACCACCACAGAAACCTGATATACTCAGAGAACTCTCAATCACATACCTCAGGCATATCAGAGATAGCATCGCCAAGAAAAAGTTTGTTCTCTAATTGAACAGTATGTCCCTCATTATAAGCGACTGTATTTATCTACAATATAAATCAGACATTGTCAGTCTTTCGATACTATATTGTGTGAATCAGATTTGTCAGTCTATCGAGACTATATAGTGTGAATCAGATAAATAGGGAACAATGATTCAATTTCATACCTCAAACTCAGTTGGAATAACACCTCTCAGCACAAGGTCATGTGTTGGTAATGGATATTGTGGCAATTTCTGCATAGAACAAATAGATTAGCTATTAAATATAACATGAATTAAACAAGCAGCAATGGCTAGACCAGGAAAGAAACACTTATGAGCTTTATAACATTATGACATAAACAACTTATTTACATTATTTGGTGGAACGAAATCAAGTTCAAATCAAGCTATCTATCAATAAAACAGAACCTAATTCCAAGTTTAGAGAGTTAACTTCTACGGAAATTAATGCAAAAGATTTTTAAAAAACAAACAAAAATCCCAACTGATATATCCCATGCACAAGTAATTATATAAAGAGCTCAAGCTAAAGTTCCATAAAGTCCAAGTAAATAAGAGATAAGAACCCAACGTCTATATATAGTATTTAATACCCAAAAAAAAGAAAAGGTTTACCATATGGTTACCCCATTCTTCAGTGTATAAAGAGCCAAAAAAGGAGAAGAAAAAGAGAAAAACAATCCATGGCTAGTTTAATGCAGATTACAACATGAATCATTCATATACGGGAAGTTGGGAACCATATCCCTTGATTGACTTTTGAGTTATATAAACATTCCTTTCATACCAAGCACAAGCTAAATGATTCAGCTATTAGTATGCAAGGAGCTCAGGGTTTAAAGATATAATGATATTGTATGATGTGGTATGCATGTTAACTAAAGCATAGATACTACACATGCAACCTAAGTAACTAAACAATAAACCATTAAAATCTTACCTCTGAAGGCTGAGCACCCCATATAAAAACACGCATACGAAACTGGGGTAGTCCATAAGCACCAGCTGCCATCATTCCCATTCGTGCTTGATAATTCATATCAACTAACCTCCCAAGAGCATATCTACCCAAAAAACCCTTAGAGAACTTAACCAAGTCAACAACATTCTCCATCAGTGCATATTTCGGCTTCAAATAGTTTACAACATCCATGTAAACAACAAGCTGTTCGTTTTTAGGGTCAGCAAGTGGATTTTCAGCGTTTCTAAACCGATTGAATCCGCTTATGCCTTGGCATGGAGGTCCGCCACATACAACATCAACATCACCCTATAAAACATTATAAATGAGTAATAGCAAGTCCTGATCTTAAGAATGGACTGCAGCAGCTGATAAAGACCCATTCAGCTTACCGGGAAAGGCAGAAGTTTTTCAGTGTATCCCTTCTTCACAAAATCTCCAATCTTCTCACGACAATTACTGGTTCAAGAAATCTTTTAGAAATGATCTACATCTGAAACTACAATTGCAAAGCAAATCAGATTTCTTACCTTAACCCCTCCAAAGGTTCCCAGGTGTCATCCTTCTCTCCGTATCCCTTCCAACGGACCTATTGATTTTGGGAAGGAAATTAAATCATGAGCTTATAGCACAACAGCAAGAGCCAAAATTGGGAAATTCACACTGAACTTAAAACCAAGTTTTCCTATCCATAGGTGCAACATGCATCATCAATTAACTAGCTTCCTTACTGTTTTTGAATTTTCTACAAGCATAATTCACTTATTTATTAGAAATGGTTGCTCCTAGAATTATTAATCCAATTTCACCTAGGATGCTTACATATATGGTAAAGATTTTGTGAATAGCAGCATATACATGTATATATATCATCAGAAGAAAGATTGCTTAAAGCCATTATAATTGACAATCATAATTGCCAAGGTAGATCTAAAATTAACTAATTAATGACTTAATGTATTATACTATTGTAGTAATGTTTTACATTTACTTGAAGATATTAACAATACAAGAATAATAATACTAGTACGTAATAAAGACTATTTAAAATATATATGGAAAAAAAAAAAGGGGGGAGGATAAGGAAACTACATGCAAGCCCTTGTATTCCGAATTCAAAATGCCCAAGACAGCTAATACTACCCAACCACAAATTATGTGTGATCACTGCAAATTTAAATGCATGCCCTTTAGCTACGTTGAAAAAAAAAATCTACTTGTTATTTCAAGCATACAATACCTTGAAGTAAAGCCCCGGTTTGTCACAGTCTTTGGGATCACCGTAACAAATCCCAAGAACTTTTTCAACTTCAAATACTTCTTCATCATCCAGATTATCATCTTCATTGGCATCATCCTCAGCATTGTCATCGTCCTCCTCAACCATTGAATCAATTATTTTATGTGTGGTTTCACTTTGAATCAAGCCAAAGGATGCACATATCTTTGGCCACTCTTTAAGCAAGGTCAAAAAGTCACCAACAGACTCATTTCGCACCTGTGTTTAAAGAGCACATGATTTATTAAAAGAGTGTTTAAGACCAGTAGGCTACAACTCTACAGTCTGGAAACAATAACAGCAGCAACAACCACAATTATAATCATAAATAATTATAGCATGCATTACATTGGTTTCCGGATGATTGAGCGCTAGACTCTGACATGCAAA